GGAATATAAAAGTACTGTACAATTAAAATCTTCTTGATCTGGATTAACATTCGGTGAAAAGAATTGGGTAAGTGTTCTTAGAGAAAGAATGCTCAGTATAATAGTGAACAGAAATAGTATACAGTACTATTATTTTTTCATGGCAACTACGTTAGCAAAGTCCAGCCTAGATTTAGCCCTCTTTTTAATAGAGATAAATAACATGTAATTAGCTTATCAAAGCACCTGTCTCCTAGACAGGCAGGCAAGCCAGTCAGTACTTGAAAGCAGTTTAAGTTGGAAAATTGCTTTTTTACATATTGTTTGCAGTATTATTTGCTCAGAAACTATCTTTTGTACAATAGACTTTGTATTTAGAGCCAAAAAAGTTATTGAGATTAGAAGCTATGTAGTATAATCAGTATTATCTTTCGATGTTATCTATGTTTTATCCAACAGCAATTTTCATAATTTCTTAATAGAAGAAAGTCAAATTAGTGAGGCTTTATAGAATGATACTGTATTCTGTCTTTCAGGGAGTATGTAAAAAGATTTTTATCGTTTAATCCTTTTGAGAACCACCCTGTTAAGAAGGTAACAACAAAATCAGTAAGACTAAGGGAGGACAAATATACTCTATAGAACTTCTATTTTCTTGCTAGAGATTTCCTTGAGAGAGGCTAATTCCATAATTTGATAAATCTTTAAAAAATATATGTATAAACTCATAGCATTACCTAGAGAGAATCCATACTTTATTCACCTGAATAAAGGCTTATTCAACTAAGCCGTTTTTCTTTTACTCTGTATCCCACACCTATACACACCAAGTGAAAATACAGTAGATCAAAAAAATAAAAATATAAATTCCGAAAGATTCCTTCTTTTACGTGGAACATTTCCAACTCGTGTATTCCAAGTATTTATTTTTTGGAGTGGATGGTAAAACAGAAGTTAAATCTGTATTTGTACAGTTGATGTCTGGCAAATGCAGTGTATAAAGTCAAAATGGGATTTTAAGTGATTCTAACATAAAAGGTTTTCATATATTTGATATATAGAGTGGCTAAGCAGCAAGCGCCTGCTACTCAAAGATGACTTCAGTCTTAGTTCTCAGTATGAGTATTTAGTGGATGAGATATGTTACTACAATATAAAGCAAAAAGCACTAGAAGGGAAGCACAAATAAATTGTGCTTCAAATGCGAATATTTTCAGCGTTGCCACTAGCCAAAATACTTTAAGGATTTATGGTTTTGTCACAATTTCAATTTAACAGAAAGAAAGAAAGAAAAAAAGAAAGAAAGAATGAAAGAAGGAAAGAGAGAAAGAGAAAGAAAGAAAAGAAAGAAAAGAAAGAAAAGAAAGAAAGAAGAAAGAAAGAAAGAAAGAAAGAAAGAAAGAAAGAAAGAAAGAAAGAAAGAAAGAAAGAAAGAAAGAAAGAAAGAAAGAGAAAAAAAGAACTCTATTCCTTTGTTCCCCAGACTCCAAGAACTCGGAATATGTTGGTGAATATTGAGGGCTTGATTTCAAGGGTTAGAAGGTCAGTGTGGGACAAGCGGTCCATCAGGGTTCACCCCTTTTCAGGCCTATAGTGCAGAGACCACTGCTCAGAATGGCGGGGTTCATGGAATTCTCACCTTGGCCAAACTCCCAATTACCTCTGATGAGCCCCAAAGATCACTTGGTAGTCTAGGCCAGGTTCCCCAGCAGAACGGCAGCGACGGCTGCAACATCAACGGTTAAATTTTAGTGTTTCATAAGGCCGGTCTACTGCACCTGTAGTAAGATTACTAGAGCTGAGGGTCTCTAGATGGAGGGAAGAGAAAGGGGGAGGAGAGAAGGGAAGGAAAATAGGGAGGGTACAGGAAAAAGGGGAGGGAGGGGGCGGGACACCGAGGGGAAGGCCAGGGGTTTACAGGAGAGATTCTGCGTTCCCATGGAAACGTATCCCTCCGCCTGTGATCGGTGTCTTAGCCTCTTCAGTTCCCTCCGCGCCGCTTCTCGGCTGTTTCCGCCCAACTCCTTTGTGCCGCGCAGAACGTCGAAATGACGCATGCGCAAAGAAAGCCACGCCGCATATATAAGCACGAACCCAAGCTTTTCCTCGTAGTGCCGCCGGACCGTTGGCAAGTGGTTTTTCGTTGCGGTTTTTATATTACGCGATTTCTGGGCGCTGCGAGCTGAGAGAGCAGAGCTTGCAGGCCAACCATCATGTCGCGTTACGGGCGGTATGGAGGAGGTAAGAGGCCAGGGCCCAGTGAGGGACGTTGCTGTGGGTGTAGCGAGTATTGTGAGGCCGTGGTGTTGGCGCGGCGGTTGGGAGACGGTTATTCCGCGTGCGTAATGGCGGCTTCGGCGCACACCATACGAAGCCAGAGGTAGCGGGGGCGGGGTATTGAAGGAAGACGGGGGATGGCGGGTGTAGGTCTGTGCCAAGTTCCATGTTAATTCTTGGGCATTTTCGTCTCCCGCCCCAGCCTAAGCCGAGCCCATGATCACTGTTTTCCTGTTGCCCTTATTCGAGCCGCCCGCCTGGCCCCCACACGCCCCCCCCGCCCTCGGCTGCCATTTTGCGCACATTGACGAGCATGGTGGCGCATTTCTTTGGCGCTTTCCCGCCACTTTAGCGGACACATCTGCTCGCAGCCATAAAATCAAGGGTGAATTTGAGACAGGACAAAACTGGCAGCTTTGGGCTGCGCATTCTCGTCATACAGTCGGTCGGATTGCGGAGTGGGTATGGAGACATAATCTTTTGGTCTGGCGGCTGGTTTCTTTTCTCTTTTAGCTCTTTCGAGCGCGGTTTATGGCTCTGGGGCGGGGAGCTGGAGCCTTGGGCGAGCCTGCGCCTGGGGCGGTTGCCGTGGAGGACGAGAGCCGGCGCAGCCCAGCTCTCCCGGCCCGGCCCCTG